GGGTTATGTGGGTCAGGATTAGGGTCATAAGGTCAGGTCTGGGGTTATGTGGGTCAGGATTAGGGTCATAAGGTCAGGTCTGGGGTTATGTGGGTCAGGATTAGGGTCATAAGGTCAGGTCTGGGGTTATGTGGGTCAGGTCTTGGGGAATCTTGGTTTAATGACTTCTTGACTCTTAGTTTAGTTGTTGATTGTTACTCGTCTGTTATTCACTCCATTAATTAGGATTATTTTTAATCCTAATCCCATGAATGAACCTGTAGGGAACTACCTGATTGCCTCCACTCTTTGGGTTAACAAACACCAGCAGAGGCTTCATGAGCTGCGAGGGGAGGGGCTTCACCAGGAAGGGCTTCCAGCGGCCATCTTGGATCTTCGATATGACAGGAACAGAAGATAAGAAAAAAATGTATAAATTTATACTTTTTATTTCCTAAGAAAACAATGTTTGTAGTATAATTTTTGTACAACATATAAACCTTTGAACACTTTACTTTCTTTATGAAACAAAAAGATTCTCACCTCTCCTCCCTTTTTGCTCCCCTTGTTGCACTTCAGCGACGTTCGTTTTTTCTTTTTGCTGGATTTCAGAGACATCTGAAGAAAGGAGACGAGAAGAAAAACGTTTCTGCTCATTTCTTCTGTCGGAGGAACCGATCAGTCATCAGCAGACTGAAACACGCACTGAAGTACCAGCTGTGGTTTCTGGTTAGGTTAGGGCCACACTGAAATTACTCAAACTGAAACTATGAAGTTTTCCACTGTGCAAAAGTCTTCAACCACTCTAAAAGGTGGATTTTAAGCTTTCTGTTCTGATTTGTTTCTATTAAGACCAGATGTGTTTGTGTTTAACTCCTCAGACTCATGGTGGAGCCCTCCTGTCGTCAGGTGTTGGTACCTGCGGCCGGCGGACTCTGATGATCCACGTTGGGGGGACGATGACGGCGGCGTGAGCTCCCAGAGAGCAACACTCTTCTATCTGCTGCAGCATGAAACACGTCACCTTGTTGTGGTACTGAAACACAAATCAATAAAAATACATGAGAAAGAAAAAGAACATGTCATAAACAAGTCTGCTTTATTACAGTTAACTGACTGAGGCTTTATTTTGAAAGGACAGGAAGTTCCACAATTTAAGTTCTTAAGCTCCACAGAAATCAAAGACAGAGCTCAGAGTAAGTGTTAGGGACGACTCTCAGCTACTACCACACTAACATTCAGCTCCACAGCCATCAAAATGACTTGTTTGTTTGTAGCTGTGTTTCCATTGACCATGAAAATGCGCAAATTAGAATTTTGAACGTCAATTTCGAAAATAATTATGTTTTTCGACAAAATGTTTTTGTAGATGAGGTGGTTTTTCGGCCGTATCTAAATTGGTGTTTTTGGCAAAACTGCAATGGAAACAGTTTTTTCGCATCACAGGAGTCACGTGATCAACAACCGTCTGTTTCTACTGGTGAAAAAGACGATGATGAAGAAGA